TTTTTTTTTTTTTCAGTATCGTACAAGAAAAAAATGCAGTGCTATCAATAGAGAAAACAACGCTCAGCTGACTCTTCTTTTCTAAAGTGTTCAGTTTTAGCTCGATTTCCAATACAAAATGGTGCATTTTTGTTGATGTATCGATATTATACTAATGGGAAATTTGTGAAAACGTTGACATCAGATACGGCCTACATTGAACAGCTGATGAAGGATAAGCATCTGGAATGCAATGAAAATGATGTTTCTGATTGCTGTATAGCACTTCGAATTGCCAGTTAGCTGTTTTTCTTTTTAAATCCTTCATTATTTTATGGTTTCATGCTTTTTAAAAGCCTCTTTTTTTTTTAAAAACAAAAAGGAAAAGAAAATTTTTTTCACTTTTTTTTTCTAGTATTCAAATTTAATTAGCATCTCTTAAAACTGCACCAGTAGTGCTATAAAAATCTGCTTTAATCTCATACATATATTTAGATTCAAAAGTACTGCCGTATCCAACATCATGCAGAACATTCACATCAAATACAGTTATTTGTAAAGTAAGCAATTTCCACAAGTGTTGCACGTAGATAATAAAACCTTCCTTTTTCAGCTAAACCTAAACGTTATATAAGTCTACAAAAATTTAGGCAAAAAAAAAAACCAAAAAACAACTGTAATTCCATTAAGCTCACAGTTATTTAGCTTCTGATAATTGTAAATTAGTAGATTTGGTAGAGAAAAACAGCAATAGTTATTATTTAGAACTTAAAGTATTAGACTATCAAGCAATTTTTTGTAATCCTTTAATTTTTTTTTTAATATATCTATTCTTTAGAGTCCAGCAGAAAAATTTTGGGAAGGCCCTCTTATTCAAGAACCTCAAATAAGACCAGGTAGCAGTAAAAAATTAATTTCTTGAAATTCGCCCAAAATTCCTCTTATTTCTATAATTAAAATTTTAGACAACAAAAAAAGTAAATTGTACCAGGTACCGTTTAATATCAGTCAAAAAATCTAATCTGCTACCAAATATTTGATAGCCACTAGTGATAAAACTTATTGAAAAGTTGATAACCATAGAAAATTATTATGGTTGTAATGCAGTGGAAAATACGCAGTACTGTTTAGTAGAAAATAAAACATCTATAACAATGATAACAGCAAAAAACCTCTTTTAAAATATATGTGAACATCGTAGATTCAGAATACATCTAACCAACAGAACATTGTTTACTGCTGTTCTAACAACTAGATTTGGATGTGTAGTTGGCTAAAAATGTTCCGTCAAACCACGTGCTCGTGATAAAACAGAATCAACTATCTCATCGTCCTAAATACCATCCAGTTTGTGCTAAGCTATAAACAGTCTACAAGCAACAGTATCGATAATGTTCAAAAGCTTGATAATTTACCGCTGCCACTAAACTGCTAAGATAAACTGCCTGTCCTGCAAATAATAATTATATAGTTTTTTTTAAAAAAAAAAAATGGCCAGATATAAACGACGAAAAAATTGCATTATGAAACTTGCTGAAAATAATTGAAAAACAAAAAAAAAAAAAACGGTAAAATAATCTCTTCAATTCAATATCTTAGGTCACATTAAATTAATGCTTATAGTGTCTAATTCATATTAATGATTCGCCAATAGCATTGGTCTAAAGTGGTACCTTCAATCAACTAGAATTCTTCTACAAATAATACCAATAAAATTATGCTCTATAGATGTTTTCAATTATCAATTTAAATTGTCTAGACATATGTATAGAAGTATTTTAACTACTGTTATGCCTCCACTTTTTCTTAAGCATAATTAACTGACAAAGTTTTGACCGTATAATGGTAATAAATTGTCTTATTTATCACAGAAACGACTCCTATCGCAAGTGCAATTACAGCAATGGCTTCAGATTTGGTAAATGTTAATTTCTAGACACTTTTTATATTCTACAGAGTTAACTGTTATACCAACCATTTGACACGCACATTTTAATCACTTTATTTCTGTCGGCTTATAAACTATTATCGATACTAAACACTAAACGATTTATACAGTAATAATTGAACATCAAACAATTAATGCACATTTGGTAATTCAATAAAAATTTTTTAAGGCAGAGCAGGAGCATCTTTATGACACAGATGTAGAAGACGAAGAAGACAGTAAGCCATTCCGTATTTACTGTCCAGTTTTTTCATCGTTTATTAATTGTGTGATATGAGAAACACAAACTGTGGCAACTTAATAGATACATTCTTCAGCAAGTAAGAAGAAAGAAGAAAAACTTCAGATTATTAACTGTATCATGACCGATTACCACCTTTTATTTTTGAATACTTCACTAAAATCTTTAAAAAACAGTTTTGTAGCCAACCACCAGCTGGTTTCAATTTCATAAAACCTAAGTAAACTGCTTTAGCAGAAATCTTCCCCTTTATACAGTCAGCCCCTAAAAAAAGTGTCCAAAAAAGAAAAAAATTATTGAAATCATTAGGTTCTTAGTTTAAGGCCACAAATTTCTATTTGTTGTCATTCAGTCCAAATAGTTACACGCTGAAATCTTTGTAGAGAGGACAACGACAACCAAAAAAAAAAAGTGATAAACAGAGAACTATAAACTGCTCTGTTGTTTCTAATCTATTTTAACAGTTTCAACTAGATAAATATAATTTTTTTTAGTTTTATTAACTTCAAAGGTGGTATTAAAACAAAAAAAAAAAAAAAAAAAAGACCTTTTATCAAGTCAACTTTAAAATGTTTGAAATATGTCGAATCTATCAGTTTTGCACTTTTAAAGAGACAAACAAAAAAAATCTTTGTAGCAAATAATTTACTCAAAAAAATTTTTGTTTAAAACTATTAAAATTATTTTTGTTTTGTGGGTGAAAGTATTTAAAAAAAAAAAACGTTTTCCTTATATACACTAAATATCAACTTTTCTTTTTCTGCAAATACAATTATTTTACAACCTTCTTAACTTGTACTGTTAATTTGTAAAAATTAAAGAATTATCACCCCACTTTAATCAAAAATTATCACAGTTTTTTAATAATAGTACCATTTTAGCATAAACTTAGTTGTCCTTCAAATTCTGTCTACTCTTCCCCACCTTCGTCCACTGCTCAACCTGTGTTTCAAATCTAGCTGCATGCAATATTTGGATTATCAATGTTACACTGCTTTCTGTCAATCTGAAACCAGGTTTTTTTGGTGGTTACTCCAATTCCACAAAAAAACATCAGTCTAGGAATGTAAACTGGTATCAATGCAGCAACGTATTTTTAGTCGCAACCATATACTGTGGTCAAAATTTCACCAGGATTTTTTCCGTAAAAAGCAAACTGTTTCCATACTTAAGTGAGGATTAGCCCAATTCACCCTTTGATTACTTTTCTCAATTAAGTAAAAGTTTACTAAGCAATATGTTTATATAAACAATTTTCAAGTCTTTTTTAGCAGTATATGATATTGCTGGACTCACTACTATTGTAGTAGCAATAATTATCACAATTGCATGCTTTGTGCACGCACAAAAGAAAAAAGTAAAACAAATTACTGCTGTACCAGCACGAGCTGGAGGAGAGGTAATACCCAGATACTATGAAGTTGGCGGCCCAGAATACAGCAGTACCCCACAATTATTGTACGACGAGCCATATTATAGCGGAAAAAGATCAGAGGATTTATCAGAAATAGAAGATTCATCGAATCAAGGTTCAGGAATGATTCCTATCCATGATCATGCACACCACAGACAACCACTGCCGATTCCGACCGACACACAACCACCGCTGATTCCAATCGACATACAACCACCGCCGATCTTTACCATCGAAGAACCTCTCCCGACTTCAACTGACGAACAGTCACTACCGTCTCAAGAGGCAGAAAAAATTACCAAAAAGAAAAAAAAGAAGCACGGTGGATCGCATCATCACCACAAACATCATCACTCACCACCTACCTAATAACAGCTGTAGAAACAATTTATGGATCAAAAATTTTATTGGTGCAACAAGAATTTTATTTGATTGGGTTATATATGTTGATATTTTGTAGAAATCAATTAATCCTGTTTCTAAAGATATGCTTCTAATCCAACATACCATAGCTACTTGAAAGCCAGAAGATAATTGTCTGTTGAAGGAATTTATACATATACCAATTCATTAGAATTCCTATCAAACACTTATCACACTACCACTTCCAAATGTGTGCCATTGATAAAATTATCACTTAACATTTCCATATCGTTCTGTGCTGATTTTTTTTTGACGATGTGAATTGTTTAAATCTGTTGTACTGGTCACCGTTTTACATGGAATATCAATTAGAAAATACATAAAAATGATAAAAAAAAAAGCAAAACCGCTACTGGATAATTCAAAAAAACTGATCGTACAATCCAACTGAAAAACTGCAAAAAACTGAACAAATGCAAAACACAAAAATGGTTGCTTACCACAGTTTTAATTTACTCTATACCCAACGGTAGAAACAGTATTGACATATAGGAAAAACGACTGTAGTAAACAGCTGGTAAAAGTGATTTTATCAAAAAACAAAAATGGTTGACAATTCTTTAGAGAAAATGCAAAAAAAAAAAAACTACCGAATTTCTCGACAAAGGTACAACTCATCGTACCAAAAGAAAACAATTGAAATATTGGTAAGGAACTAGATTCTTACTACTCATAACAATGATATAAAAGTAGTCCATTCGCATTCTAACTAATGTAAAAACTAAAATCGTGTTTTTATGTATAATATTTACTTCGATATCGAAAAATGTATTAAAAGCCTTCAACCGACACCGCAGACAAGCCAAATACTAATTATCAATGAAATGAATCAAAGACTTCAACTAACTACTTTAAAAAATGTTTGTTAAAATTCCCCAAGCGCCTGAAATGAACCTAACAGCTAACCTCTGGAAAAACAAAAAAAAATACTTTACAAGGCATACTACCAGCAACCTAATGCCTCATAGATTAAAAATACAAACATCTCTGCAGTTGAGCAAATGTTCACGCCGTTGATGAATGCTGACTCATAATTAAATCAGTAGCACTCAATCAACGTCAAATTTCCAAAAACCACAAATGTTTTCAGTGCATAATCACGGATAAATGAATAAATGAACGAACATTTATCGCACCTGGCTTTCTAATTATTACTGCAGAACATCAGCACTCTGCTAGATTTGATTGAGAATAAAAAAGAAAAATCTGACAGTTCATAATTTCAGATCTGTACTTCCGTCAAATCAAAATAACAGAAATTGTGCTCTACAAACACTGGATATACAACAGCCATGACTGCTTGTCGGCTTGCCTATTAAACCCAGAAATTATCGTTGCTAAAAAGTAAATACACTCCTTCAACTAATTAACCATTGATCTTACCAAAAAAGTAATACAAAACTTTCCTAAATTTTATTTCTCACTGACAGGCTGCAAGAACTTTTACAGTGACATCCCAGATCCAACTGCTTTTTTTGCTCATTAGTTTTCTTCCAACTTCAAAAATCTGCAGAAAGAGGATGAAACGAGAAAAAACAGCCTCTAATCTGCTTTTGAGATATTACGTTAAACTCCCACTAGAATGAATAAATTATAAAACAGACCAAAATGATCTAACAAAAACAAAAGATGAAATGTCAATTTAATACCTCTGCAAGACCTGACCCACCTTCAGCCAAACAGTCAAAAAGTACATATACCATATAAATTGGAAAATAAATTTTAAAATTGATGGTAAAAAGCGAGCTTCGGGAGTTGAACAATATCACTTACAATGTCGAGCGCACTGAAAAACAACGTGTAATATAAGTGCTAACGATATTTTTAAAGTTATTGTATAATACAACATAAACTACGCAAAACAAGAAATGGAACTAACTTTACAAATGCATTTTTGCATTAAAGGAGTCTCAGTGTAGTCAAAGTGGTGAAACCATCGACCAAAAACATGCAAATAATATGAATCAAAATGAGCGAGGAATGAGGAAGAAAGTGAAGTTAATATGAACAAAAAATCATGTAATAATGGAGAGTAAAATACTAATACTCTTCTGCTTCATAATACTCATCGGGATCATCTACAAGATAAACATTCTCTATGTCAGAAGTTGTTCGCAAAGGAACGTGCCTGTAATATACGGTGTCTTCGTCGTAATCTTCGGTATCATAAAGTTGCCTTTGACGTCTTCTTGCTGCTTGATACTATAAAGGCGAAATTTTTCATACAAAAAACTCATAAAAACTCGAATACAATGAAGCTTATTAAAGAAACAACTACCGACCAATCAAGATGTCCAATTATAACAGAAAAAATCCTAAGAACTTTAATCAAATTCAATCTTCTCAAAGTTACCCCGTCTTTCCGAGACCTTCCTCCTGACACTCGCGAGCTATTCCATCCCCCATAACGAGGACCCCTTCTTTGAAACTTTTGAATAACATTTGGATCACCTTCCTTTATTTGAATCATCATACTACTTAAATTTGAAATTGAATTTTGGGTCGTCCTGAGCTATAAAATAATTATTCATTAGATGCTGAAATGAAAAGTAGAAAAATTGATAGACATTTGAGATAAACGACAGAGGAAGTGGTGTAAGGGCCACTTCACGCTATCTGCTTAACAAATCTTTCACGCAAAAATGATTAATTTGAGGAGATAAAGTAACAAATGAATATTCCTCACTATTACCGATCTTAACAAAACATCCATTGTAGTGTCATCCAGACGATACAGCTGTTCAGATACATTATCAAACAGAAAAGAACAAAGCCGATCTATGTTTTTCATACGAATATCAATCTCTTCTGCCTTCGGATGTACTGGTCCTAATTCCTCCTCTAATCGAGCTTCCTCCTCCATTCGCAAGTATTCATCGTCTTCCTGAAAAAAATAATATATAAAAAAAAATCTCAGAAAACACAACTACTAGGACTTTTCATCCCATTGCTCAAAATTTTAAAAACCTGTGTTTCACTTATTACCATTTCTTCATCCCTTCGTGAATCAGTGTCATCAACGTTAATGAATGTTTCTTCATCAGCAGGCTTCTTGTTAACTACAACAAAACGGAACAGTTTTAAAAAAAGTGGAAACGTTCCAGAAGAGAATGTATAAAACAGTAAATAAATGGGCAATTGAGTAAATACCTTGAAGATCAACAGGGACGCAACCGTACATAGAACCCAAAGCTGCCCTTAAAAATCAAATGTTAAGGCACATATCATCACTTCTTCACTCGCTTTGGCTCCATTGCAAAAATCAAACTTTTTATAGAAAGTTTAAAATTTTTCAAAAATGAGTACTTCTTCGCAGAACTAGGCTTCAGTCTAGCTGTGGCTTTCTCAGCACTCGTGACGGGGAAAACGTATCGTGGATCAAGTGTATGCCCAAAGTGCGTCAGCTGGCCATTCACCTCAATGGAACTAAACAACGAAACAGTGGTAGA